TCTGGGAATGTACCAAGTTTACGGCCCTACTCTGGAAATTATCATGCATATTATGGACTCCGGGTAATGTGGGTTCTTCTAAATCTTCCTGCCAATATGGCGAAGTTGCAAAAACAAGTTCAAAAAACCTCTAAACAATCCGATATTTGCCATAAAAATAATATTCGTTTATTGGCTGATATTAGAATACCTTAATGCACAGTGCAAATAAACTAAAGAAAGGTTTTAGATTATATCGAAGTTACAGCTTCTGACTAACAAAATAAGTCCGATAGAAATTAAATGCTTTAAAGGTAGAAAATGAGAGCTACACTTAGAAAAAAAAATTCATAAGCCCATAAACACTGCTTTATGGTCTATTTACCTGTCCTGGTCCATTGGTCAGAAGTATCGACGGCTGTGCAGAAGAAGTAGCAGTCCCTGCATTATTGGATAAAGAAAGGAGACCAGAGGAATCGGGTATGTGGGTTGTATAAGTTAATGAAGGGACAGAATGTTGCGCCGTCCCAGGGGCTAAAAGGCCAGCTAAAGACACGGCTGGATTTGCAGAGATGCTATTGGCATTAGCAAGTGTAGGGCTATGACTAGTTGAGTTAAGGTGATTTGAAGCCATTGGTTGTGGGCAAATTGGCCCCCTTGGGTAAGGATTTGCTAGTAGTGGATGCGCATGGGAAGGTTGCTGCTGCTGTGATTGTGGAGAAAGCTGTTGATGCTGCTGAGCTTGAGCAGCAGCAACCGCAAGTGCATAGACTGTCGCGTTGGAGGCACCAGCGATAACAGCATTTGTTGCCTTGACCAAGCCATCGTGTGACCCTGGTGGGCTTATATAGACACCACCCGACTGTCCAGAAATATGATGGGAAAGTGGAGTGGAGCATGGTGCGGCCGAAGGCGAAGGTGCTGTACCAACTAACTCCGGAGGCCCCTGTGGAGGCGGGAGGACCCCGGAAAGTGATGACGATAAAAGACTTGAACCGCTCTGATGCCCTAAAATGAACCAATAAAAAATAAGAGCATTAGGATAAAGGCGAAAAAAATTAGCCTTCCTGGGAGAGACTGATAACGAATTATATAACAATTTATGATTAGGCTTCATGATGGTAGTGAATTTAACTTAGCCTTTTATATCAAAATGGGACTGCAGTTTTGAACTAGCCAGCACTTCCAACAAGATTCAAAACAGATAGTGCACATCGAGGCGATGCGTTACACATCCGTCACAACCGGTAAATGGTAGGATAGATGTAATATTAAATACAAGTCAAGCTTTATCATAATAACTGTGCAGTAAGTGTGCACATGTGAACCAAATATTCGAGTTTGGGGAGAGATATATTCAAAACTAATTCGAATCGGAGGCGATACACCCAAAAAGGTACCCCAAGTGTTGATACGTTTTATGTGAACCTAACAAAGCGCTGATTTGACTAGAGAAAAGCGGTGTAGAAATCAAAATTTAATCCTAAGAAATTCAGTGAACCAATTAACCCAATATATGCCGGACTGATCTTGACTAAAGTTTACCTCAACCTTATCATTTTACGATTAATAATATTGATATACAATCTAAATAGTCCAAATATAGACTGACCAATACATAACACGGCTGAAGGTTG